CTAAACTAAACTTGTTGATGTTGAATAGATTCTGACTCATAGAAACCCCATAGAAAAGAGTAGAATGGCCCCATAGGGTCCAAGGCTGTAATTTTTATGAAAGCAGACTGCCTTATCTTTCTGTGGAGTGGCTAGCAAATTCGAAATTACCAAGCTTTCAGTTAGTAGCTGAACACTTCACCACTGTGCCACCAGGGCTCCTCCAAAGGACTATAATAAACACACACAGAGACCTATTGCCAACAAGTCAATTAAAACTCATAGTGACCCCATAGGATAGAGTAGGACTGGCCCATGGGGTTTCCAACATTGTAATCTTTAGAAGAAAGATTACAGCATTGGAAAACCACTACTTATCTGTCAGTTTGTCATCCTGTGGTGGCTTGCATGTTACTGTGAGGCTGGAGGCTATGCCACCAGTATTTCAAATACCAGCAGGGTCACACATTGTAGACAGGCTTCAGCAGAGCTTCCATACTAAGGAAGACTTCCAGACTTGGAAGAAGGAAGGGACCATTCATTTCTCAAAGAACTGGCCACTGAAAACCTTACGAATAGCAGTGAAACGCTATCTGGTATATTACTGGAAAATTTTATGAATCACCTTGAAACATTCTTCAATATAGTGCCTGTAGATGAGCCCCTCAGGTTGGAAGGAACTCAAAATACAACTTGGGAAGAGTTGCCTCCTCAGAGTAGACTGACCTTAATGATGTAGATGGAGTAAAGCTTTCAGGATTTCCATTTGCTTATGTTGTATGGTTCAAAATGAGAAGAAACAGCTGCAAACAACCATAAATATTCGGAACATAGAATGTATGCAGCATGAATCCAGAAAAATTGCTGTTATTGTTGTTAGGTGCTGTCGAGTCATCTCTAACTCATAGCAACCCTACACATTACAGAATAAAACATCACCTAGTCCTGCGCCAGCTCCACGATCCTTGTTATACTTGAGCCCATCATCACTGTCACAGCATCAATCCATCTTTTTTTATTATTTCCTTTTTAATCCTTATTATTTCTTTCTTTCTTTTTTTTTTTTTTTTTATT